AAAGAAAGTGATGCTAGTCCCTCCATACAGTAAATTGATTTTTTGATTTCCCACATTTCTTACTAACTGACTCACAATATCAACATTTTGAGAAAAACTTACTAGTCTAGAACCACCAAGAACACATATGGTTTTGATCGGCTGAAGAAATTTATTACCTTGCGAAGGCTCTGAAACATCCATCTATTTATTGATAAACTTAATTTTTCAAAAGTTTATAAGGCATACGATTATGATGAATGACTCGCTATTTAAATAGAAAGTCTTACAAAGCGATAAATAATTTTACTGTTTTCTTCTGACAATTGCAACTGACAGATAAGGTGTTGGGTTTTAAATAAATCTTGTCGGCAGCTATAAGATTCTATGAAAATTACAGTGCAACTACTAAACTTCATTAGTATGATTTTTCATACTAACAAAGACTAGTTTTACAAACTTGATCTTTTGAAACAATATTCTCAAGACTGTAAAGTTCTTCTTCATTTTTGAAACGAATCCATAGAGACAGAAGCTCACGATGCACATACCCACTAGGATGTGTCTCAAGAATCTGGTGGATCGTTTGATCCATAGACTCCTTACTCAATCCATCCTTTATAAATGCTATTTTATCTTCTCGATTTTTGGACACGAACCCCACTGATTTACATCGTGTGTCACAAGTCCATCGAGCACATTTGAAGCATCCACCTAATCGTTTTGCTCTTCGTTTCTTTGCAAAAGTACTCTTACCCATACCTGGCATATATTTGTATGAATTTGGAAACTCTCCCGACAATCGAACTTTTGCTTCAATCAACCATCGAATATCGCCTAGAATATTATTAATCATTAGCACCCTCAATCTTTCTATTCGAGACCGATAAATCCTTTTTTTTTATGATATTTACTGGAACAAATGGATAATATTTACGGATATTTGAGAGTGCTAAATCCATCTGTAAATTAGGACCTTTGTTCAGAAATTTTGAATGGATTGACTGATAATTTATAGAAATGATGCGTATGCTATACGACTCTAAAAACAAAGAGTCTGTCCGACAGAAAGATTGATACGCATGTGATACGATTCTGAATTTAAAAATTGTGGGTCAGAATCTGCACTTGAAGTGCATTTATTGCCGCCGAAAGATGATGTGATATGTTTAATGGGTCACAATGAATTATTGTGATGTTTACTGATATAAATGATGATAGTTTTAATGATTAATTGATTCTTTGTGATATGAGATACTTTATTCTCGATTGGTGAAATTACTACTGGCTAAATATTTGTGAATCGAATTTTGATCAAACTGATTATTAAAGGGGTACGATATATATGGGCCCACTACCCCTCCATGTGTGATACTAGATATTATGGATCCACTAGATAACTACATGTGTGTGAACCGTAACCTGAAGTTACGAGATGATTTGATCAAAGAATGTGTATATGACACGAGATCAAATAATGTGTATATGACACGTAACCTGAAGTTACGAGATGGTTTGATCAAAGAATGACACAAGATGGCTATAAAAGAATGAAAATAAGTGTCATATGAAAGTGATGAAGCTAGTAATATAATCAGCTCATATGATGAACTCATGAAAGAAAAATGTGCACATTACAAGTGATATGAGTTCAAAGTCCTCCTATTATATGTTGAAATCGAGAACGAAATGGATATTATATGAACTCCCCTCAAGAAACTCAATACTAAAAATACAGATCAGGGATCTGTTAAGATGAGGGGAGAATCGATTATTGAAATTTTGAAAATGATATATGCATCACACTGAAAGTGTGCAAATTATAAACTGAATGAT